AGGGATGAGTGTGCTGATGAGTTAATAAGGCTTATGTAACGAGCGCTCCGTGTCTGATTGTTTCTCATGCATACACGATACCAGAGCAGGACTGTGGGGCTTGTTCTCACTCACGCTCTGCCAGACGCATGATGTGTGGAATAAACAGACTTCGGTTTGTGCGTGCAAAACATCCAGTAAGATGGCGGAGGACAAAAACTCAGCAGCACGTCACCATGGTAACATCTGCCGCAGACCTAACCTGGTCCAAAGCAAACTCCAGATGAGACATTAACATGTATAAACCCCTGTCCAATCGACCAATCACATCCAAAACGTCCCTGGGTCACTGTGTGACCCCCGTGCCTGCAGGCTTTGTGTTGCTCTGCTTCACCAGCTGTCTCCAGAGTGGATGCAGGAGCTTTGTGTGGGCTGTGGTGGAAGCTGCTCTGAATTGTGAGGTTTTACATCATGAACAGCTGAGTGTGTGCTTTTGTTTTTCTGGGGTAGGAACGGCAGCACTTTGTGATGGAGATGTTACTCTGCTGCAGAGCAGCTACACCTCCACAATACCAACTGAAGTGCCTGCGCATGGTGATGTGGCTGCTCTGAAGGCTGAGCTGTGTTTAATTGGACTGAACGGCAGAAGTAAAGAAATATGTTTGGAAGATGAAGGAGTCAGACAGACGGATTCTATTTTTTAACACGTGGTGGGATGAATTCCTGCCACGCTGGACTGGAACAAAACTCCAGGGCTTAAATGATCAAGTTTAACACGTCAGTGAATGAGACAAAACAACACCTGTCTTACAGCAGCAGAGGAGACGCTAAGAGCTGGTGATGTGTGACCAAAACGAAACAAATCACTGCACCGAGCATTACTCGCAGGCTCCACGAGACAAAAGGTGGATTTAAGTTCCTGATGCAGCTCCGTGGAGCAAAAGCAGGACTTTCTCCTGAAGAGTGAGAGCTCGGTTTCTTCTGTGCTAACGTTTGAATAGCTGCACTGTAATGCTCCCCCCTACCCTTCACACGCCTGAGTCAACCAACCTAATGCTCCAAAAACCAAACACCAACCTAACTGCAGCTGAAACACAGGCAGGCGGAGCTTTTTATCCATATGTAGGAAGCCACCAACAACAAAAAGCTTAAAGAGACCTTACCTGGCAGACCTTCTCGGTGTGTATAGCCCCATGAGAGCACTCAGATCCTCTAACTAACTGCTCTTCGTGCAACAAAGGCCCCGACCAAAGACCAGAGGGGACCGAGCTTCTGCAATGGCTGCACCTAAACTCCGCATGTCAGATTCACTCATTTAAAAACTCACCTGTTCCACCTAGCCTTTGAAGCAAACTAGTTCGGACTTCCACCCGGTCTGCATTTGTGCTATGTAACTGTAACTGTCACTGTAACTGTAACTAAACCTGTTTATTAACTGTTTTTGTTGCCATTCGTTGGAATCTGCCTTGTGTGAAGCACTTTCATGGACACTTCCCTTTTTAAATGTGCTGTAGAAATAAATACTGATTGAATAATTGAGAGTCTGTGATGGGAAGGAAAAAAAGATGGAATGGTTGGAAGGCTGAATCTGCCGGAGAGAAGAGAAGACACGCAGCGGCGGCTGAGGACCGCCTACTGTGAACCGCGTCATCATTACAGCCTCACAACAAACAACATGTCGCGCTAATATTATCCTTCATCTACATGCATTCAGGTAGCAACAGTCCTCACAGTGTGTGCAGCGTGAGGCCTTTTACACACACACACAC